TGATTACGGTATTTTGCATATTTCATGTAACGTGTGCTAAATATATAACGTGTGGTTTTAAATATGGAGTCTTCAGGCGCATATTATTCCGAAAGGATATATTTATACTAATTCATCAAAAAATGACTTGTCATGAAAAGTTAGGGGTCAGCCAATCGTTTTTTTCTTTCTGGGGAAGCATTACATGAGTTTTGTTACACGAGTTATGTTATCGCAATAAGAGACATTGATTGATTAAAACTGAATTGAGACACACACGTTGCATTAAAGTATGTAACGATAAACAATAAACGATAAAGTTTACTTTGCAAAAACGAATAAAAATGAAAACTTGGGTGTAATTGTGCACTTTTATTTTAATTTTGGTAATGGCAAGTCCGATTTAACCAAATATTGCTTTAAAAATCGGTTATTTTGATTACCAAAGATTAAAACGTGGTCATGACAAACGTGTTGAAAATTCTTTGAACCTACAGCTTTCAAACGACAGATCATAATAGAGTTCATTCATTACATTTTGGATAATTGCCTAAATGCTTAGTGTCATTCAACATCAAAATGTTACAAGTTAAATTTAGATAGTTCTGTAATTAGTGGTGTGTTCTACTTCAAACTTTAATTAAATCTTGTAATCTAATGCCAAGCTATTAGACTAAATGTGCATTTTCAGATTGACGTCTGGTTAGTTTTCGGCTTTAAAACCTTTAAGTACAAAGAAAATGAATGCCATATGTAATTTGTAAGTTCTAATACTACAACAGGTAGATATTACACATCTGCAAATGTTTCAATACAAACCGTAAATTTGGAAAATAATCGCGATTTAAACATGACTCACTGGCTAATCGACAATTTTTGGTCATTTACAATAGGTGCTTTACACACCATCTTGATCGAAATTGACAATTAAAGTTTAGATTAGACTCTTTGTTCAATCCCACATTACTTCACTACTCATCATTACATAACTACATGATGCAGACTTAAAGGAATATTTCACAATATTGAGGTGGCAGCCTGTCCATAGCACTGCAAAAGTATGAAACTACAAAAAGAATTTTTTGTGGAAAAAAGGAAACATTTACATGGTCCAAATTTTTTAAAAACTATTTCAGAATTTTTGATCATATTTCTTTAAAAGTTCCAAAGCCGAATTGAATGCAACGTTCTACAATACATATTTAATTTTGCTGCAAGTACTTTGTGATGAAATCTATATGCTCACTTAATTATAGCAACAAATAAAGTCGCGTGATATATTAGAATATTGGTAAGAAATAGCTTCATTTGAACTTTTTTGAATGTCCTTAAGGCAACTTCACTCAATTAATGCATTGATCAAATATGACTTATCTGATATCTATTTTAAGACGTTAATGTTTCTGAATTTGATTTTATTGATTGACAATCACGAACGGGAGACAATCCAAAAAACTTTGAATGTGTAAGATAAAATGATAAATTTCTTACGACGCTAAATGAATTGGTTATAATGTCGGTTTTAAGCGACGTTCAAGGCGAAAACTGAGAGCAGTCAGGTCAACTTGATTGGAAAACAAGCGCGATTGCGCAAATTTTATGAAACAGGCCGTTAGTTATATAATGAGAAAATGCTATAATAAAAATTTCTAAACAAAATTATGCCACCGACTCAGAATTCTATTCATGGTTTGTAATTTGCGTCAAGATCACATGATTTTGTTCGCACCTACGAGAATATTAATGAAGTGCAACATTTTATCTCAGATATATACTAAGAAAGTAAACTTACAGTGAATGCCCAAATTACAGTTTCGCGCAATTTTTCATGCACCTGGATTCAGTTTTTTTACGTACTTTTACTTTTTGTTATGGGTCCTTTTATATCTTTGTCCCAACAAGTTGTACAAGAGCCCAAATAAACACTCGGAGCACACCGTTGGTTTCTGCTGCTATTTATATCGATATTTCGCGTGTCAAATTCGTGTACCTTGGCTTATCTGTATAATTCATTATTGTTGTGGTTCATTTCTTATATAAACCCCAAAACCAATAAAAAATTTGCGTATAGATGCATATACAGTCACTAATGGGGCACAATGAGAGAAGTGTTCCATTCAAGGCCCAAGCGTGAAAGGAAGGTCATTTAACGTACACATTATTAATATTTCAACTTTTCCGCAGTTTACGTCAAAATTCGTAATACTGAGGTCAGCAAAATATACAGTGCTGGCTCACAATATGATTGCTATCGGCAATAAACATACGAAAACCGCGTAATTGAAACAAGTTGAGGCTGGATATATATATACACCACTCAGCGTTTTGTCAATTATATTTAACCAACAAAAAATTGTATCAATTGTATACTTAATGTTATTATCAGTCTGGGTTACGCGATGCTGACTAGTGACTACCCTTCGTTGCTTTATACCGTTGCGCGGGGTGGGCATAGCGCCTGTATTTGCAGTTAGATTGTTGAGAGTCTCAACAAGAGCTTGACTAATTTAGATTTGTGTGGCATATCGGTTTCGGACTTCGCATTGAGCAAACAAACGATTTTTGTTAATTTTACAATTTCGTCACTTTTATACGCACAGACCACAAAAAATGCTGAATGTTATTCTATTTTAAAATTTTGACACATCCGTAACTTCAAATAAAAATGCGTTTCGGCAGGTTTCGTATTGTAATTTTAGATTCGTATAGTCAGTTCTTAGACCCAAAATGTGAACCCGATCAATAAAAATTAAATCTGATCGAAATTTTTTAAATTAACCCAGTTATACTAGTTAAATTTTCAATTTGTTTGTAATAAATCATAAATATTAGTATATTATTTGAAATCGGCTTTTCAGTTAACTAAATATGAGTGGCGTTAATCGTTATAAATATTTCATAATAGGAGCTTTGTGTAATAAGTTTTGACAAATTTTAAACATTTCCGATTTTTAAAGGCAACGCCTATATTAATGCAGAGAATTACGTCAATGCATTGGTAATATACAGCTAACAACTATTTCGCGGTCGAATAATAAATCATCAGCTTGTAATGTATTTAATTAAAATATGATATTGGTTTTGCGTTTATTTGGTAAAAGACAATAAGTACATTTTTATATAATTTTCCACACTTTTACTAAAAACAGGCTTTGTTTATAAAAATCACACATAATAAACAGTAAGAAACTGGGTCATGAATTACAGCTATATTTTCTACTCATTACTCTTAGTAAGATAAGGTTTTGGATTGAAAAAGTAGTCATTCATGGCTCATAATTGTCACGCAAACCTTAAGCCTATAGGCGGGCATAATATATACGACTTCGCTTTTAGTAACAATTGAATACCTTTATAATATTGATGAAAGAACCTCTCATACTAATAAAATTCTTCAATCCAATGTACCTCAATAATTATATTGTTCTTTTTATGGTAAATAACGAGTATTTAGTGTTCAGATATAAATGAGTTTTTTACGTGAACGAGTTCTTTGTTTACAACTTATCTCAACTTATAATGAAACGATACTGGTATTTTTAAAACAATACTAAGTACTAATTGATTATGTCAGTTGGAGAATAAAATGAAAAATGTTTCCATTGAAATTGCTCTTTGTTTTTTTTTTCACATCGAGACAAATTCGAGAAAAATATTTTAGCAATTTATCAATAGTGATGGGCCAAAAATCATGGAACAGCAGACTCGTTTTGATGCTTCAATGATTGCTCTTGGCCAGGGGTCGGCAAACTGCGGTCTAATTTCTTGCGGCCCTAAAACGTCCCGACTTACAATGCATAAAACAAAAATTTGATCATATATAAATATAATATTATTGTAGTCACACGGATGTACATGGTGCCGATGGTGGTAACAAGTGCTGATGTAAAGCGTTTTGTTGTAGTAAGTAGCGTCAATTGTAGGCTCTGTGGTTTACTTGATGTTGGTTGTAATTATAATTCGAATTTATTTTGAATTTTAAAAATATAAAAACGCCCGGGAATGGAGGGAAGTTTGAGATGAGGACCGTGCTTGGACGGAAAATTTTTTTTTTGCGCATTTCAAAACCAGTTTGCAAGTCAGCATCGCAGTTATTAAGGAATTCAATGTTGAACATTTCGTACTCACTAGTCAGATCGTCATTTGGATGACGTATTGCTACTGTTTTGTTTGATAATATATATATTAAAAAGCGCAACATACACGCCTTACTGTGGCCATAATTTGAAGGTAAATGTGGCAATTGTTCGCAGGCGGAAATTATTGCGGCACGCACGCCAGCGGAAATGTATATTTTTGGCCCGCGAGTACATGAAGTTTGCCGACCACTGCTTTAGGCATTTCGATTTGCATACGTTTTCGTCATTTTTACGAGTATCGCGAAAAACGCAATTCAATAAAGCGTTTCTACTCTAATGTACCTACTCAGCATTTTTTCTTTTTTTTCTATATATAAAAACTTCAAAATAGTATTTCATTCATTTTAAGTTGAGCAAAGTCTGTAGAAGTTCAGAATCTTTTTGTCAATACATCCATGCAAAGACTAGAAATAGTTTTATAGCCAGTGAACTGAATTATTTTCCAAATGATGCAGATAGGCCTACTGCATGCTTTATGTAGTTCACCCACTATAGAATACATTTTGTTTGATTCAAATTAGGGTTGCATAAGCGACGTATATATTATTTATATTAGCTACAACCTATTGGTTTCCACTTCAGGTGCACACACTGAGCTCCCCTTTTTACAACGAAATACTAAATTTCAATATTAATTGGTGAATTTGAGGTTAAATAAAAAATGTTTTCGTCCGATTTCCACATTTTTCTATTTTGGAAGCATAGCCCATTGGTTCTCATATTCAATTCGGTGTAACGTTTCCCAATCCTCTTCATTACTATAGACGTAGCTGCTTTCCTTTCAAAGGTACGCTGAATAAAACTAGCAGGACTTATCGTAATGATTGCAACTTTTTACACTGAACAGTTAATCCAATCATTATCATAATTCCAAAGTACAGGATGAAGTTCGCTTTTTGTATCATTATTGGACTTTTGTTAACTTTGGCTTATGCGGCGGAAGACGAAGAATGTTATACAAGAAATGGATGTGGAAAAACTCGGAAAAGGAAATCCAGACTAGCAGAGGATTATTGGATAAATGTTAACAAAAAAACTGATACCTGCACAATGTGCTTATGCGGTTTAGTGAAGAAACATACGGTATTGTTGTTTAAACATTTTGTAATTATTTCAGGATTTAGCAAGAAGTTTTAGAAGAAAAAAAATAACTAAGACTGACACAAAACAACAAAAATTGATTACATATCGTGCGCTAGGAAAACACTGGTGTCGATCGGTTGAAGCCCACGCATCCGAAGCGAACGACTGGTTAACTGTTCCCATACCGGGAATTAAACGGTAATCAAACGCCAGGCCGTGATTTGGCATATGATTTACCAAGAGACAAATGCAAAATTTTTATCAAATTACGAGCCCGTAGCAACTAAATATTGAACACGATTAGGCTCGCCGGAAAATGCTTGTTAACTGTAACATATAAAAAGTTTAGAACAAATTTTTAACCAAACTTTTGTAAAATTTTAGCAATCCTGCATAGTTGTTGATAAAGCCAATGACGCTCCACATAAAAAGAAAGGAATACTCGGCCGAATTTATCACGAAGAATCAAAACTTCGATCAGTTCGAAATCGTAAAAACATGACTGTGATTATTCGAGACGAAGAAATCGAATTGACAAAATCTGAAGCAAAAAATATTGAATGCGGAGATGAACCTGAACCAATTTTCAACAACAGGAAAAAGAAATATGAATTTCCTCCTATGAAATTCGTTCATTACCTGTACACCGAGAAAGAGTCATACTGTTGCCAAAGGTTAGAACAAAGTATTCTGTTATTTTATGGGAAAATTTGCTAGAACACAAATTTTAGTTGTTGAATAATATCAGATTAAAAAATTATCTTCTATTCATCGCTGATGACATGAATATCTGAAACAACATGAAATATCATTTTCTATAAATTGTCCTCCCTAAATTAATATCTTATTGGAAATACGACAAACACTTGATTGATTGTTCTGGCTCTTGGATTATATATAATTGCTTACTCAGTACACTAGTTTTAGTATTATTATTAAGCTCCTCAAATCTATATTGTTATTCACAACGAAGGCATTATCAGGTTTGTGAGCTGTTTTATTTCAGCAGAAACTCTGACTAAAACTTCAATTTGAAAGTGTACAGAGACATGAATTTAAAAGTTGTTCTTCATGCAAAATTATATTATGTAGCTTCAGCTTATCACATTTATTGCGAGAAATCATTCAAAATAGATAATAAAAGCGGAATATTTGAATCTATGATTGCATAACATCTCGATAGAGTTTATCTATAGTCTTGGGTAACGAATTTCCTAACTTGGGTACATGCTATATTCAAAAATAGGGAAAACTTATGTATTCTGTTCTAGCGGTTTTGATTTTTCAAAACGTGAGTACGCGTTGAACCGGGACTTTGATTTCATTAGATTTTTATTAAATCTCGTTTGTTGCTGCTGTTTATAATGCCCTGTACATAGGCTTGGTTGACGATAATTATCTTTGTTGTCATAAAATATAGCGAATCCTTTTCCTATATATTTTCAGAATATTTATAATTTTTTTCAGAAAAGGGCCTGTTATTGTCAATATTCCAACATCGTGCTACAAAAAATACGACAGCAAGTGTGAAGCAAGAATTGTCACGAAAAAGAATTCATCAAAACTTTGTGAATTACCAAAACCATCTGCAGCACCAGTTGATATGAAAGACCCACCAAATAAACGACAATAAAAGAATGCGGAAAAGCAACTGTTGCTTCCTGGCCGTTTAGAGAAAAACATTAAAATAGTAAGAATTGAAATTGAAAAATTTTAAATTATGATTCGTTACATTTTATCGATAGCAATTTCGTAAACTCATCAAAGGACAGAGATATATAATTTGCTCTTTTCAGTCTAAGATCATTGAGTTAAATATAGCTTATTACCAGCATATATACATTGTATTCAGTGAATACTGTTCGTTTTTTTATATTACTTATACTCATAATTTTGTCAATAAATAGCAAATATAAGCAATAATACCGAGTAGTATGTGATATTGACGTATCGATCATGCGATAACAAATATAAATTATATATATTTGGCTCCAATTTGAAATGTACAATCACACCTCGTGTTGTAACGACGAAATATTAATAATCTTGTATTGCTATAGAGGCGTTCCAGAAGTGTGTGTCCCAATATGGAGGTAACTAATTTTGTTCGCTTCTTTACAACAAGCTGTGTAAAGAGACGGAAGCCTATGGGCTGAGGGTATATTCACTTAGCTAACACAGACAGTACCCGAACTTGTAATAGAACGGAAATCGGAAAATCGGAATAAAATTATGGCCTAATCCTCCCCTGGTACATACACCACGGAAGTACCGCTATGGATACCAAATGTTTGAGATGTCTCTAAATGAAGTATACATATTTCAAATCGAACGAAGTGCTATTGATATGACATGCAAATCAAGTTTGCTGCGTTTTAAATTGATATCATGCAAGATTTGAGAAAGCTCCTCTCGCACGATTACCTAATTACCTAAATTTGTCTCACGCGATCAAATCAGTCTATTTTGGGCATGAAGTATTTCCCAATTATAAAATATCAGGTCAATATATCAATTTGCAATCAAACCATTTTTGCATATTCAATAAACAAGTAATGAATTAATTATGCGTTGCAATTGCATAGACAGAGAACGTTAGAATTCAAGATTTCGTAAAGAGTTTATAAGAAATACGTTATTTCTTTGTAGTCAGGTTGTAAAAGTTGAGAGTCAGGGTATGGAAATAGAGAATTTTGCATCCAAACGCCATGAATGGAAAAATAAGCATAACAGTAAGTTTTTTTAAAGTGTAAAAAATAAACTTCCTGACTGCGGAAGCAGGCATACAATAATAAACAAGATGATAAACGCACGCTTTCGCCATTCCCCTTTCTGTCTTTATCCGCAAATATACTGTTTAGTATTTCCTTCAGATTGTAAAATATTTTATGATGTTTAACTAACTTAAAGAAATGGGCCACAAAACAATAGTAAATAACTGTGAGGTACAAACATTTGTTATTTGCTTCGTTACCAAGATTTACCGTAAACTCCCGGGTGAGTTTGGGTGTGAAATATGTTTTAAACTTTCCCTGGCAGGTTTTGCTTTGTTATGAAGACTTTATCACCCATTGTCGCTATTTTATTTTTCAGCATTACAGTGTGTATTTGTTGTACGATAAAACGACCTTCGCATTGTGATTTCAGCTGCGATTGAGTAATTGCTTCTGTCGTTAAACAAAAATGTATTTGACCTACGGTTCTGTCCTCGTAACGGCTTACGTTGATAAAAATCGGCGAGTTAAATGGAATATTCCGGCACATGTGTCGTGAGCCTGCTTCAGTAAAATTAGGTAAAATTTTAGGTAAAATTTTGTGGTTAATTGGGATGTGAAGCTTGTCTATGGAATTATCATTTCCGTTGAAATTCCGTAGTAAACGTCTCATGAAATAGAATGGGACAGCATACATGGCAACTTTATAACGTCAGATCTACCATTGGTTTTTAAATTTCCTGTCAACCAAGAACTTTTTTTTTATCAAGTATTTATTTTGTGGTGAGACACGGGATGAATTAAGAAATACACATAACGTTATTTATCTGGGATTAGTTTCTAGGTTTCGCCATGGGAAGTTACCAGGCTTCGGTTGGGAGAAACGACTCATTGGATTTGACAGGCATAAGTTGCCCCGGGATGAGATACAACGGAAAATATGTCCGAATATGTACAAAATTACGAATTAGATTACATAATATGATGAAATATAGTGGAAATAATATGCATGCGTATCATATTATATTATATATATATATTATATTTTTGTTATTTATGTTCCTATTGTGCGGACTCTCCGCAGAAGGGTTTAGGTTGACAGCAAGCTTTTAAGGGATTATTTACATCGCTTAGAAATAATAATCAATGCAATCAATAGCAGCACTTATTTGTGTATGTGCCAGTGATTTCCCTACACCCCCCCTAAAATTTCAAACACCCCCCCTAATTTTGAGGTGCGATTCTACACTGAGGGGTTCTAAACCGCAGTCTGCGGGCAAATTACGGCCCGCATGACGATTTAAAATGGCCCGCCGAACTCGAGTGAAATAGTTTAATCCTTCATGTGGTACCTTTTGAGCTTTAGATACCGTCTATTGTTACATCATTATCACAGTTTACGCACGTTTATTTCGTAACAATTGAATTATTCCGGTATCTTATGTATACGTATGGGTATTAGGCAAACACACTACAGTATTTTAGATATCAGCCGTATATTAGGAAAGCTTAAAGATGTCACAAAACGAAAACTAGGCACTGAAAACAGACATTTTTTAGATGAATGACAGCGTTTTTATTTCTTTATTGAAAAGAATCAAACTTCAGCGATTTGTCTTCTTACCAACAAAATATTTCAGTTCTGAAGGAATACAACATTATGATCAGTTGACGAGCGTATTTCAAAATTTAATTCATACAAAAGTCAAACAAACATGTTCAAAAAAATTGGAAATGTGTACTTGTTGAAACGTAGTAATATATATTTACGGTTGAAAGCCGTGCTTCTCATCTATTCCCCGGAATTCTATCAGCTAAATATTATAATTATTGATTTCATTACATAACAACCTGCGATGCTAGGTGTATCTAAAATCAAGCTTAGAGCCTATTTTGGTGCCTATTTCTCAAAATTTTCTCAGGGCGCTTAAGCGCGCCCTGAACCCCAGCCGTGTCGTCCGCACTTTTACTCGCTCCCCTTTTTTGGCCCTACAATTTCATTCTGCTGTGGATTTTGGCTCGCCGTCAATCAACTTGGGGGCCCCCATGTACATCGTTTCTTAAATACATACCATTTTTAAAAAAATACAAATAGCCTAGTTTTATCTCTAATAGCAAATTATTTACCACCCCCTAAATTTTGAAACACCCCCCCTAAAAAGAAAAGCTGGGGAACATGCTGGTATGTGCTCGTGGTTTTTCCACGATTAATTAAGCGATAAATGTTATATCTAACAATCTTCTGTGTCGTATTAGGTTCGTGGATGTCGGCAAAGAAATTTCAACTACATTGGTTCAGGTTGACCGCTTCGGAAACACAAAGTTGTGTTCGCACAACATTCTGTTTTAAGGTGGGGGATACCAAATACATTTAAAACATGTGGAACATGATTCTTGCACCCTTCAAAACGGAAATCCATTCCAATAAATTATCCAACTAATACACTTGTCGTGACTATTTGACATATATTACGGAACTTAGATTCCACAGACATGCCGTCATCGCATGATCAATTACCGGTATTTGTTGAAACACCTTCTTCCAAAAAGGTGAATTACCTGGGGATAGAATTAAACATTTCCCTCCTTTAGATATCAAATATTTGTGGTATGTACTGCTCGCCTTTGATAAACGTTATTACATCAATTTCGTAATCAAGTGAACGCACATTCATTGAAGATTGATCTAGAACACATTTTTCAAAATAGGTGGAAGCTATATTTTATTCCACAAAACAAAATTATAGTAGGAACGAATTGTTTGAAGTACACATGTCTGTGAATAGAAACATGGAAAACAAGGCAAATATCACTTATTTAATATTACTGGATATTGTGTTGCGTCATCACCATTTAATTTACAGTCATATCCAGTTATTGTTTAATTGTCTATTGTTTAATGTTCCAGGCCGTGAGGCGACATGGAAGCTTAAATTGATCTGAAGGCACCATTCGTGGATAGGTGTTGAAAAAAAGTACAGACGTTAGGAGCTGGTAAAAACTTACTAAGATGAATGGCAATGGGCAAATATTTTGACACGAAGGTCGCGCATCCGCATTAAGCTTTTCAACGAATTAGTGGCAACCATCTTTAAATCCTGAAAATCGAAATCCTAAAAAGTCAAAAACGATTGGTCTATTGCAGGGGTTTCCAACACGCGGCCCGCGGGCCGCATGCGGCCCGCCAGGCAATTTTTTGCGGCCCGCACCATGGTTAAGATTTCAAGAATAAACTAAATCAGTATGACGTTAACTAAGAATTTTATCGTGTTCGTATTTTATCATTGAAGTGTGCAGTTATGAATCATTAATTCTGTATGTGTGCAGTTAACGCAAAACCAGAATAATATGAACTTTTTTTAATTAGTAAACCCATACGCAATGCCCCAGAAGTGTAAATGTTCGGAAAAGCACAGAATATTGTGAAATTATAATATCAAGGTTCAGTGTCTCATGTGTTGTGCAATTATTGCTGTTCAAAAGAAATACAGCATCCGGCGATATTACGACTCATTACACAGGGGAAATACCATGTCTATACTAAAACAATTCGTCACGAAAAGGTATCACAATTAAAATTTTCGCTCTTGAAACAGAGAATTTTTTTCTCGGACGAACAAAACTTTGTGAAGCTTCGGTGAAAGCAATCTTCGTGAGATGATTTCAAAATCGTCGCGTTCTTTCGTTGAAGGAAGCTTTAATAAAGAGTGTATGTTGAAGGCTTCTGAAGTAACAGCAGCATTTTTTTCAACAATGAAAGTTAACAAAACAAATCAGCCTTTCGCACACGACTAACGAACAAGAGTCTGTATGCTGTCTCAAGACTAGCAAACCAACGCTAAATCGAGTCTTTTACCTCTACAAAATGGTGCCAAATATCCATCACAACTAAATGAATATGTTTAATGTCTCGTTTGGTGAAAAATTTAAGTGCAATTACAACTAATAAATTCGATTTTTTTTTATGTGTAGGCCTACCTAATTTGTTGGTTTGCGGCGCGCATCGTCAATAAATTTCAAAAAGTGG